ACTCAAATGAGCGTTACACATCCAAGCCTGCTGCTCAATCTCATTCAATCCCCACGAAAAAGTGCAAAACGCGCCTGAAGAAGTTTCCACTTCAAAAATCTTCCAAACAGGATCAGTGCAGTAAAACAGGCTTGTCAAAGCAAGTTCTATTTAGCTAATAAACAATACTTATAACAGTAAAATGGACTCTTTTCAACCATTTCTACATAAAATTTGTTGTAGAAATGGTGGTCCTACAGTACATGATCTCTCGATCCCTCTCTCTCTCTATATATATATATAGAGTATCATGGCTAATTATTTAACGATTTTGATTAAATTAATCATAACAGTGTAAAATTGAGAAATTTTAAATAAAATGTAGTTTTGCATTATGATTGATGTTTTCTAACACAGCTTAAAAGACTAGTTTCAATATTAGCTTCCCCTAAAGTACCTTTAATTTTTTTAATTTGAAACAATTGATCATTTCACATTAATCTCTAATATAAAAGAATTTGATAATTAACTGAAGGAGAAATAAGAGATCATAACGGAGAATAGTTGTAATTGAGGAACCAAAGGAATACGAGCGCACCCGAACTAACCCGAGTTCGTCCGAAAGATTAGAACACACTTCTATACCTAACATGAGCTTAATATAATAAGGACTCCGACAATATTATGTAAATATGCATATGCGGTTTTCATAGATGCTGTTGTTGGTATTATTAAATATTTCATTGTATAGATTACAGCGATATAAATATTAAAATTTGTATATAAGCGTTACACAAATTATAAGACTTATACAAATAATAATACCCACAATGAAATATAAATAAATATAGAGTCTATAATTTTTACTTTCACTTCGTTTTGTCTGAAAATACTTATTTCTGCTAAGAAGAGAGTGGTAAGTGAAAGTTGTATGAAGCGCGCGCGAACCGCAACAATTTCTTTTTTGTGGTCAAATTATCTTACGATTCAAATCAAATGGATATATATATATATATATATATATATATATATATATATATATATATATATATATGTATATGAATTTTTAGTACCTTATTAATTGAAGTAATTTAATGATAAAACTCCACTGTGGAGTTAATCCATGCTATCTGGCAGCACTGTAGCTGATGTAAACAAAAGCAGATTGGCTTGGTTGATATTACACAGACAGCAGTAGTCCTTTGTTCCGATAGTGTGGTGTTTGTGTAGAGCAATAAAGGTGTTTTGTTTATTTGTGGTGTAAAAGTTTTCAACATAGCCTCATTTGTTTCCTGAAGTGAATTCCTGACATCACATAGTGGCATCCCTTGTGTGGGAAATTAAGGATAATGAGTCCTGAAGAGTTGAAAACCGCCAAATATTATAAACATTGCCTCATTTGTATCCTGAAGTGATTTCCTAATATTAAACTCCACATTTCCGAGATTTTTGTTAATGAAAACGTAGATTACGATAAGATTAAATAATTTTCGAAGTTTCAGACAGCTGTAAATAATTTGATAAAAAGGGGTCTAATAGAATATCGAATCGGGGAATTTAATAAAATTACAGAATCAAATTTTATTGTATTAGAGCACAACTCTGTAGAAAGAACAAATACAGAGGGACCATTCATCTCAGCTTTTAGGTGATGTTCATTAGGACTAATCCGAGGGGAAAACTTGCGGAAGCTAATTAGATTCAGATTGGGAAGTTCATTTTGGAAAAGAGGGGGGGAGGAGGAAGGAGGAGGGAATTCCTTGAACCGAACTCCACTGCCATTACCATCTTCGGCTATGGCAATTAGCTCACTCACCTTCCTCTAGGCTAGCTCACTGTGAATAGCCCGGCGTCAGTGGGGATTATCTCTCAAACCCTTCATCGCTGGCGGCTTTATTCTGATAGTAGTCTGGGATTTAAGGTAATGGAAGCATCAATTTGTCAGCTGTTATGTTGAAGTGGGTACATGCTTAGTCTAAGTATTCGTTTATTTGCTCACCACGTATTTTTCATGATAAACTGCAGTCTCATCCGTACACACTTGTTTCCTGCTTTGCTTTCTTCTCGATTACTGAAAATTCTACTTTTTTAAATGTTTTATGAACGTCTCAGGAGTAGTATCTTGATTAGTCTGTTCATGTCATAATTCCCGTTTTTTTCGTTATTTACAATTACTAGTTGTATTTAGTTAATACAGTTGTAAATTTCAAAAAATAAAATTTTTTACTATCAGATGATCTGCCTAATTTTTTTTTCTTTGAAAATAGTAAGGAAGTAACATCAAATTAGTCTTGCCCAAAAGCGACACTGAGACGAGTCTTGGTCTTGTACAACTCAGCCTTGGTCATGGTCTTGGTCTTGCGCAACAGTCTTGCAGCTACTTATTACTTTTGAGATATTACTGTAATTTTTTTAGACAGGAGAAACCTAACAAAGCCCGAATGAAAAGTTAGAGGAGTTATATGCAAAAGTGTATTGGTGTACCAAAGTGTACCAATTATTAACATATAGTAACTAAGATTCTCGAGTATTAGTAACTATTTTGCCTTAATTTTTATTTTAAAAATCGATTTTTTTTAACAGTCCTGGCCTTGGTCTTGCAACAGTTAGGTGGTCTTGGTCTTTGTCTTGCAATGTGCTGCAAGACGAAGACCGATTTTGGGCAACACTACTTCAAATTATCAAACTACATGGAATCTCAACAAAAATGTTGGTATTTCGGGTCTAGATGTTTTTCATCTTTTGTAGAAGGTGAACAGGTTTAATATTGAATTGAATTTATTACAAGATAAAACAAATTTTTGCAAGATAAAACCCTTATTATTAAATGACTTTTAGTACAAAAAAACTCAATTTTTTTTCTAAATTACTCAAGATAAATTAATAAAATAAAATAATTTGAATGGTTGAAATGTCGGCACGAATAAAAAAAAATCATGATGATTGCGACCTGAATATTTATCACCCAATGGATATTTTAATATATAAATATTTTTCAAACATCCTTACACACCACATTTGACGAAGTGTGAATTTTAGAGAACATGGGACAGAGAAAGATATCTATTAAGAAAAATTATAATTTGGCCAAGCAGAAACAGCGACCTGCCTGTACTAGTAAGTATTCGCTGATAATTTTCTCACAGCATCGTTGCACTGCCAGCGTTCTATTCACGATGTGAAGAGATTTTCAAGGCTATCCATGAAAATTATAGAACGTGCCTATGGCTATGCTTTGAGGTCCAGTGTTATCGCCACGTACCAAGTAAACAGCATTAATAAGTAAATAAGAAAATATTAAATCCGACAAACTCGTCTGAACAATATTTGATGCCGTCAACATTGCCACTAACACCTTCGACAAACATAGCATGCTGTAACGAACAATCCAAAAATATTTATCATGTTTAGTTGGATATTGGACACTCAATAACAAGTTAAAGCTTTCGGACAAGCTGCCTAAATGACATTTTGCTATTATGGTGAAATTTATATCATCTCTAGATCTGTTGAACCTTTTAAAAAGACCACTTCCTGGTTCTCTGGCGACACTCTCTGTTTCCCTTTGATGATTTAAAGTCCGTGAAACGCCCATTACTCTCGCTTGTAATGGTTTGAAAAAACATTGGAGCTCGAACAATTACTTCTTCTGTTCTTTCCCTTGTTATCTTTTTATTGGTTTTAACAGATTAAATGAAAACATACATGAATTGTTAATATTCGTCAATTTTCATTTCATATTCCTATACTTTAAATTTATTTAATAAATAATGAATATAGATATAAATAACAAAGTAAAATTATCGTTTTTCACTCCAGTTACATACGCCATGATGCTTATGGCCAAACCAGTTGTTTCTACTTCTTGCAAATATCAAAAAAATATTTTTTTTAAATAATAAAGATATAATAATTAATATTATATTGAAGGGGAAATGTCTCGATCGAAAAATAACTGTTGTCACCTAAGTAAAATCAAACTAACTCCAGATGAATACCATTTATCATATAAATGATTAGTCTAAAATCTTTATTTTGTATTAGGAGTGTCTAAGATAACAGGTGCTCAATTATTTATATTTATACCCTACCCACCGGTAAGTCAATACGGGTGTTATGCAACATTGAGTAGCAGCACATGCGATACAACTCACTGCTGCATTCAGACCAATTACATTTTTTTTCTTTTTCTTTTTCAGCTGTGCACCCACCTGCTCTTCTTTTCAGCCGACATCTTCCATCCTCTCTGGCGGCCTTCCAGATGCATGTCCATCTTTTCTTGCCAATGTAATGTATTTTGGACCAACGAGTTCTTTCCACCCATATACGAAGGCCTTGTAGTACGGGTAGTTCACTTTAATCACTAGTTGAGGGAGATCACTCTCCGTCAGAACGTAAAGTCCCGTCTCCCTCAACAACGTGGCCCTCAGTGCCTTGAAGGCGGTACAGACAAGGACGATATGCTCGGCGGTGACCGGTGCTCTGCAACTTGGGCATTGGGAATCAACGTTCTTACCATATCCAACGAGTTTTGCTCGGAAACCACCATACCTCGTGAGGAACTGTGAGAATAGTTCAGGAGAACCCTTGTCCGTTCCATTCTTGAACCAACGGCCGAGAAGTATTTTCTTAGCGTAGCACCTTTTGGCGTCGTCACCCACCGCTGGTTCCATTCTTTTAGCGTGTTCTCCTGAAGAATGCACTTCCATCTATCATCGTAGATTCAACAGGCCTTCCCTATTCATCTTGTTCCGAAAATAGTCTTCTAGAAGAAGATCAATAGGGGTAGTTCCGGCTAGGATCTTTACCGCCTCATGAGACGCTGTCCGGTAACAGGAACTCGATACAAATTTAATTAAATGAACAGCTGTATAATTGGTAAAATAATTGCCATAGGAGAGTGGCGTTACTTGAGCTCCTGTTACCTCCTACTCTCCTAATACTAAAATAAAATAAAATATGAAAATCACTAAAAACCTGTTTATATAATATAGAGATAATAACTTTTGATCTCTACTCACTCTGTAGAGAAGGCTTTGGACTCTGGCGTGGCTGGTTCTTGGGTGCATTGGCGATCCTCTCCTTGTGGTTGGGACCGCAGTGGCACTTGCCGACGCTATCGCAAGTGCACACACCGGTCCCAGAGGCAATTCCCGTTCCGTTATCCGTGGTTCCTAGCGTCACCTCTTTAGCTGTAACAGAATGAAGATAATGATAATCCAACAATAATGGAACAGGGCAATTTCAAATATAATCAAGTCCAGTCTCAACTAACAAGAAAAGAACAGCACAATATAAGAACGCATTGAAACCCTTTAATGAAAAATAATAGTAAATATGTAGTATTTCAATGTCCATTTACTATTGAGTCCCTAGTGAAGGTAAGGATTCACGGCTCTCACTGAACCTAATCCAAGGGGAAGAGATAAGAGAAACCCTTTTCAAACATAAGTCCGGACACACGGCGCAGTACAGAACGAATGGACTAGAGATAAAATCTCTGTGGAAGAAGCAGCTTAGGCCAGTAAAGTATGGGCCACAAGTCTTCTCGCAGGTGAATAGTGGCCCTTTTAAACGTTGTTGAAATCTAATATATCTTGAAATTTCAAATATTCAATATAATGAGGATAATAAATATAAATAAATATAGTGCTCACTGAAGTCTAGTACAAGTGTCCTTAACTGAGACAGATTGTAGTATTTATAAAAAAAAAAAAAAAAAAAAACTGTATCACTAACAACCCATGAAGGGTCTTGGGTGCAGTACTATGTGAGGAAGTACTGTTACAAGGCCAACGATTGTGCAGGGAGGTGACGGGGCCGATATCACGCTCAACCGCCAGGTTTTTCCCCCTAATTATTTCTTTAATCAAGGGTACCTGCTTTATAGAGGCTGGGTGTGTACCCCAGGAGGGTCTCCCAATCCCAGGGTCGATCCAGGCCAATGAAAAATTACTAGTCATTAGCCGGATTCGAACCTAGGGCCTTTAGCTCTGGAAGTCAGTGCTCACCCACTGAGCTTATATTTATCAATAAACATGTTAAAAATACTTTTATCGTTAATCCTAAAGAGAACCATGAGATTTTTCTCGAAAGGATTAATGCATGGTAATGTCCTTAGACCTGTCACATATATTTTATTCCTTCAGGCTCAAAAACATTTCTTTAATATTCGATTTTTATGCAAAATTCAAGGTGTGCCGGTTTTTTCGACCACCAGTTTAGATACTTCATTTCAGTTGCATCAAAGTAAGTAACATCAGCTATTCTTAGTTGAATTTATAAATAGTCAAATATTGAATCAATCAATATGACTTAAAAGGACAAAACAATGTAATACTGATGTCTTACTGCAGTCCTGGGAGCAGATCATCGGGTTGAGCTCCTCCAGAGGATCGCACCACCTGTCCGGGCAGTAGAGGAGCTCGGTGCTGCAGGTGGAATAGTTCCTCGACAGCCTGGTCACGTTGGTCTGCTTGCCGTCCCTCCACTGGCAATAGCCGTTCCTGCAAAAGAACATTATCTATCAGAAACGTTTTATATGGAGAAGTTGTGTAAACTAGAAAGGACGGGATGGTCGAGCACGTTGAGTCGAGGGTCCCAGAGTGCCCGGGTCAAAACGTTGTGTGTTTGATTCCCCTCTGAGTCGGTTAATTTTCATTTTCGGCGGCCCCCGGAATTGGATCTTAGTAGGCGGCCGCAACCTCAAGGTAGCCGTCAGAGGTTGGTAAAAAGATCCTCCCATGTGTCCCGGACTGGTTACTAGAACCAGTACCAGTATGTAAACTTGGGATTTTATTATATTATATCTTTCTTATACGAGTTGGATACTTGTATAGAAATCACGTACATTTCAACTTCAGTTGAATTCATGTGATAAAGAGGTTAAACTTTTCGATTTATAAAAAAAAAATCATATTTGGTCAAAAACGCGATATCCAGAAATTGCGTCTGGAAGGTGATGGTGGGATCGAGGTTGTAGCCTGAGTCCACTGTAGTATGACGTATACCATGTTCAAATATAATGCTATCAAATACACCTTTATAAAAGGATTAGCAGATGTACACGTCGTTGACGGGTGTATAGTTAAAATTTGAGATTTTTTTTTTAGAAGGATTTTGTATCATGGGAGGGAGGTGGATCCAATTATATGGATTTTTTTTTACGCCAGATCTCTAGACAAATTACTCAATAATTCATAACTTTCGTTCTACTCAAAATTTTGCTTTTATTCAAAGAATGTTTTAAGTCAAACAAACCTAAATATAGTGTAAAAATTTCAAAAGTCTACCTTTAGCCGTTGCTCAGTTTATCGCTGGCAAAATAACATTGGACATTGAGTCACCTACGTCCGTGTAAAATTAGGACTTGATCTGAAATTGTGGCGGGCGGAGTGAAATTAGGGCATTTTCAATCTAGAGATCGGCTAACTTTGTGTATTTAATTAGGTACTAAAAACTCGTAAATACCCATTTGCTTTCCACTTGAATCGTAAGATAATTTGAGCAAAAACTCGAGAAAAAGGGTGGGCTTCAAAAATATTGAGTTGTTAGGCGTGACCTACAGCCTCAAAATATCAAATAACGAGGTTATGTCGACCTAACGGACAAATATTTTTTAGATCACCTTTTTTTCTCTATTTCGTACTCAAATTATAATAAGATCCAACTTGAAACCAAATAGGTATTTATAATATATTAATACTTAATCAAACTAGTCAAAGTTTGCTGACCTCTAGATTGAAAACGCCCCAATTCCGACAATCTACGTAAATAAAATAGTTGTAGATTACGATGAGATGAAGCTATTTACGATGTTTCAAGCGGATGTTAATAATTTGATAAAAAGGGGTCTGTAGCACGGGCTATCTTTTTCGGTGGGCAATGGCGTTTGATTGAGGTTCATAAATAGCGGTAGCGGGTTGAATAAATAAATGCGCATTTTTATGGAGTTCTGAATTTTCGAGGAACGAACATCTTGGCGGTTATTAATAATGGAGAGAATCATATTTTTGTGTGGATTTCAATTCGGAGAAATTTTCAAAGCTTAGAACACGAGGGAAACATGGAACAGACCACAGCAAACGTGATTCTATTTGATCTTCAATTTTTTTTCAAAATCTACTTTCGCTTGCACTGTTCTTAAGAAGAGAAGAGCAATGAAATTTCTTGGAAGGAGGCATCGATCATCTTGGGGGGATGGAGATCCCTGGTTGATGATTAAGGCAAAGTAAAAGACTGATGATTTCATTAAACATACTAAAGCTTACCAGTAAGGCCGAATACTTGTATTTTCCTTAGAAGGCTAACATCGTTACGTGAGCGGTTCCTTTTTTAAAGTTTTTCTTCAAATTGAGGTTCATAGATTCATAAAAACCCAACATACAGAAATCTTATTCTCTAAATCTATTATCAATTTAAAAAAAATATCCCAAATTGAGCTTTATTTAAGATGTTTTGACTCCATTAAAAGCAATATAATAAAATATTTGTCAATATGAAGATAAAAATATCAATATGAAAATATGTTTTTTCAAGATGTCTCTTAACAAAGTATTACCTGAAAGAAGGTTCTTTCTCCATTCTCGTGCCCCATTAGGGGAGATGCTGGCAAGAAAGCCACTGAGGGCTTTAATACCAACTAATTTGTATCATAAAGTATCTCTATTTATACCTCGTTCGACGTAGTATTTTATAATGTTGAAATATATTGATTAATATTATTACTATTTATATAAATTTTTACTAAGTAGAGACCCGTTATGAATTAAATAATAAATTAATGCACGTCATCTCAATTTAATAAATCGTCGTTTAATCATAAAAAGAACAACAGTTTTGATGGAACTATAAAATTTTAATATTACTTTATGAATTTCGGTCGCATTTATCGATACAAAAACACAGTAAGTGCATTAAAATGTCACAAACCTGTTTATTTATACAATTTTGTTACACTAAATACACAATATACTGATTTCATTTAAAGAAAATTCATCTAAATACTTATCTAGATTTCTCCGGTATATCACTCATTGTCCCTTCTACATAACCAATAAATCGCTTCATAAAAACCTAAAAATACCACAAGTGACTGACGTAATTAAGAAGTGTCACAAAAAGTTTCACGACTCACTTATTGGATATCCTAATCCACTTGTACAGACATTATTAAGAGACACACTGTCACAGAATCCAACAAGACTCAAACGTCTCTGGAGCAGATAAACCTCCCCTTCGCTGAGAGGTTTCTCCAATCAAGCATTCATGTTAATCTTGCAAAGGAAGTTGACGAATGATGATCACATTTACGATATAAGCCAAAGGCATTTGTAAAATTTCTCAATAAATAAATTATTATTATCTAAATACTTAGTAATTTAATTTCAGAAAATGTTACTCAATTTTTTTTTATTATATCTCTTTTTTATCGGCTTCCGCCATCAGAGACCTTGCAGCCCAGTATTCCGATTTGGACGACGTGGTATCATCTCTGACGTTCAATTACGGTCAGATGCGCTGCGTCTATATTTGCTCTCGAATTAATTAGGCTGCAATGTGGAGAGCCTGCTATGCAGATGCTTCCTAAGGTAGCCGTGGCCTGTTATCATCCGGAACTCTGCCACAGCCTTCTTTCTATGCAGGTTCATGGGAACTCGATCAGCTTCATTAAACAATATTCTCCATTACTTTTCCACAATACTGCTCGGATTCCAGAAGTAGAGCTTTATTTTCCTGATTTTTTTTTTTTGTAGGTAAACAAATGTTACTTTTGCAATAAGTTAAAATTACCTTGTTAATGTTATAAAATAATTAAAGGTGGACATGACGAGAATAATAAATTTTATTATGAGTAGACGCATGCAATTCGCATAAGTGAAAAGGACAGGTACATGACGGGTATTTAAGTACATAAAAAGAATGTTTATATTTGGAAATATGTATAGTTAATAAATGATTGTAAATTGCAAAACATTTTTTAAACTTGAAAATGGCTCGACGAGCCGAAACGTCGTAATTGTGATGTGTAGTCATTATGCTGACAAAATTTAAAAATTGGCTGATGATAAATAAACTTGAAAATAAATAGTATGCGCCGAAGAAGAATTGAGAAATATTGTGGGTAATACTTATTTATTTAACACCTTATATGATGGTTCATCTTGCCAGATATTATATTTACGTTACTATCATTACTACCATACACTATCATTTGCGTGATTAACTTTAAAACTAGACCAATAAGAGGACAAACAAAACAGCAGGAGAGAGATTGTCGTTGGACTTGGAGAGGTAATTAGCCATAGGGTGGGAGGAAAGGGAAATGTAAATTACTCAAGTGTATGTTATTCTGAGGAAAAAGAACCTTGTCTGCCATTGCAGAGCCGCTGCTTTAAAAAATGGTGCCTGATTTAAAAATATTAGGCCAATAATTTGAGGATCGAAACGGGAAATCCATTGCGAAAAATATGAGAAAAGTTTTTATTTTTTTGACTTGTATATATGTGTTTAGACAAGTTAGAAACAAAATTGCTAACTCGGGAAACCAAGGAAAACACTTTTTACAGCCAAAAAAGTCAGATTTTTTCGATATATTTTTGTTTTTTCATCTATAACTCTTAAACAATGCATCAAATCGAAAAATGTATTCTTTAATAAATTAAAGAACATTAAATTTTGCGTCAAACGAATACATAAAATTTATAATTTGGTCACTCAGTAAGGTGTAAAACCACGGTCACCAACGCTGATTTTTACTACATTTGTCAAAAACTGAGACAAATTACTAAATGGAGGATTAAAATAAATTCTAATAAATCCCATCAAATCACCTTTACCCTTCGACGTAAACCTATGACCTCATGTCCCACAGTATCCTTTAATAATACCCCACTTATCCCTGTTGAACAAATCCGATACCTTGGACTTCACTTGGACAAACGTCTAACTTGGAATCCTCATACCAGACTGAAACGACAAGAAACCGCTCGACGTTTCCGACTACTCCAACACTTACTAGACAAACGCTCTAAACTTCCCCTTAATTACAAAAGACTCATATACTTGACTATAATAAGACCTATTTGGACTTACGGAGTTGAGCTATGGGGCTCCACTAAACCATCGAATTCCTCTCGCATCCAATCCTTACAATCCAAAATCCTTCGTAAAATCCTCAATGCTCCTTACTTTGTCACTAATAAAATAATCCATAAAGACCTCAATGTACCATATGTTTCCGATTTGGCCAAATCCAGATACCTATCCTTCCATAATAAACTTCATAACCATCCGAATCCTCTTGTTTCTAACCTTGCTTCCTCTTCGATTCCTGATAACCCTCCGAGGCGTCTGAAAAGAAGATGGCCTCGTGATCTTCTCATGTAGACAAATTATTAGAGTGCTACCAGTGGGTAGTTTCTCAACAAGTCATTTCATGTTTTTATTTTCTGTTATCAAATTTACTTGATGTATTTATACTAATACAGTTGTAAATATCATAATAAAAGTTAAAAAAAAAAAAAAAATTACTAAAAACATTGAAAAAATCTTACTTTTTTGGCTGTTTTCCTTTGGTGGCACGTTAGCAATTTTGTTTTTTATATATCTAAACCGATATATACCTGTTAAAAAAATAAAAACGTTCCTCACATTTTTCGAAAAGGATTTCCCGTTTCGATCCTCAAATTATTGGCATAATATTCTTTAAATCAGGCGCCATTTTTTAAAGCAGCGGCTCCGGAACGGCAGACAAGGTTTTTTTTTTACTTAGAATAACATACACTTTCGTAATTTACAATCAAACCTTCGCCTGCGATCAGGTCGATTTTTGGGCCCTGGCTCGAGGGCTAGTATGTCACCTCCAGTTCCTTCCACACACACAGTAGTTTAACCTAGACCCGAAAAGTGAGTACCTGCCCCTCCCCTGCTTGCTAAGGCTACTAGCCGACAGTACTGACCCTCTCGGAGTGGCGGCCATCCCGCAGGTGGCGGAGCAGCTCCTCTCGTTGACCGCCTCTGAGCAGACGTCCCAGGGGGCCTGGTCCCCGGGCGCGCGAGTGCAGTTGGTCCGCTGGAGCCCAACTGGCAGCCAGGCCAGCCCTGCCCCGCTGCTGTTCAGGCTCCACTCCACCAGCACCCTGCCCACAATGGAACAAGAGTATTAAATCAATGTTAAACTATAATCAAATTTACATAAGAAATTATGTATGGGCTATTTTTTAGTTGGATGCGATATCATATATTCATCACACCTAATCTGAATTTTTTTTTTCTAGAAACTTTTGTTATAATAATTTAGATTTTAATCCGATTTAATATAAAACGTTCATTATTGAATTCCACTTGTGCTGATATAAGATATATTATAGAAAAAAAATATGTGTATGCTATTAACTATGCATTCTTTTATGAATATTGTGGATGTGTATGCGGGTGTAAGTAGGTATGCATATAAGTGTATGTATGAGTGGGCATGTGCGTGTGACTCTGTGTATGTATGCATGTCCATTTATTATTTTTTTTTTTTGTTAATCAAGTAAATTTAACTAATTGATTGTTAATTTTATTTTTATTGAATTTTGCATATATTGGGTCTGTATATATATTTAAAATATTTATGACGCAGCAAGTTATTGTATAAATATCTGCATAGCTTTTGAAAAGAATCTTAATGCTTGTGAGACCTGGAGACTCCAATCCAGGATTTATCTTTATATTTTTATTTTGTTTTATTTTTATTTTTATTGTTTAGTCTTATTTTTGTTTTGTTTCTTTTATGGTGAAGGTAGCACCATGTTAAGGTAAATGAAATTGTGAATAAGAACAGTTTGTAACTAAAAGCATGTATTTTCTGCGAAATAAATAAATATCATATAATCAAATTTACAATATTAGAGAGCCATGTTAATATTATCTAATATCATTTGGCAATTTCAAATAGCATCCATTACAACCTCATATATATTATTGTTTAAAGATGAGCAATTCATCGTTTATTTTACTGTGCAATATTACAGGAGCATTAATGCTTTTAGGAAACTTTTTTTTTACATTTTTTCTTGACACATTTAGTAGCTGCCTGCATATGCTTTGTGATTTCAAAAGTATAGATATTGTGATTGTCTAATTATTTAAGACAGAAAGAAATGGACCAATGAAAATATTTGATAATTATTATAATAAAAAAAATTATAAACTTCATATTTTGGAGGGAAGAGGATATCGGCCAGGTGCCATCTGCTTCTTATGTCGATGGATGAAAAACGTAATATATGAATATACAGGATGTTTCGTAATTGCACGGCGCTATTTTAGGTATGTGTTCACTAACACAAAATAAAGAAATTAGTATATAATCATAAATTGAAGTGTGTCACAGTATTCACTCAGACTAAAACACACAGAACTAGAAAAACAGATGAGCAACTACTGTCAATGTTTACTGTTCATTTATTTATCAGGTGATTAAAACCTGTTATTTAATATTAAACGCATTAAACTTTGTACAGTCAGTCTTAATGTTGTAAATAAATAATAAATCTCATATTTATCAAATAATAAATAATGAACTTTTTTGTTTATTTTGTGTTAGTGAACACATACCTAAAATAGTGCCATACAAACACCCTATATAAATAATTTAATCTATTAAAAAATTCTATGAAGTTTCCTGCATATAGGAAAGTATTGCAGCTTATCACAACAACATGTGATTATTATTTTGAGGATTAAAATTTCAATCAGGTTAGACGAGTTTGTTATTTGAATCACTTTTAAAAATCAATGCAGAATAGCGTTAAATTATCATAATCATCAGTAATTTGTGCTTCCAGTCAAAAATACAACTATTTTGTTGTTGGTTCATACATTATTTTTAATAAAATTATAAATGACAGGAGCGCATGTTAAGCTTAAATATTAAATATGACACATCAATGCTAAAACGTAATAATAGCCCGCGGTACAGACCCCTTTTTATCAATATATTAATCTCCAAATTATTAACAAAAATTCTCAGAAATGGGACGTTTTCTCATTAAATCAATTTATTCAATCAGATACTAATAACTCATGATTTGCTTTCCACTTGAATCGTTAGGTAATTTTATCAAAAATTCGAGAAAAATGGTGGACAAAAAAAGATTGGGCTTTTTGGCGTATATAACTTTGTTATTTATGACATGTTGGAGGATGAGACCACGCTCAAACGGTCCAACATTTTTAAATAAACGGTCACCTCCTTTCTTGATTTTATGAATCAAATCATCTCGATTTCAAATTACATTTCAATTAGATTAGAAAGCAAATGATTTTTAGTACTTGAATAAATAGACCACGTTTGCCGATCACTATATTGAAAACGCAAAATTTCCGAGAATTTAAGTAAAATAAAAAAGATGTAGGTTATGATAAGCTTAAGCCTTGGGGATATGGTTTTAGATGAATGTTAATAATTTGATAAACTGTGATCTGTACCGTGGACCATAACTTTTTAAAAGTAAAATAAACAATTTAAAGTAAAAATGTCCACTAATAACAGGAAATAGTAATAAGAATCGCCTCATTTAAAATATCAAACCCTCTTAAACATTTAGAATAACACTCATTTAGAATAAATAAGTTTAAATAAAATATTGAAAACTGCAAAAAATATTCACCCAGGTATCTGAGCCAGAGCGGGACTGTCCCAGTGCAGGAGGTAGACGATGCCTGCTCGCTCGGTGACTCGATAGGGAGACTCCATGAGAAGCGGCAGGGCCGAGCTGAAGGAAACGGAGGTCAGGTTCTTGGCGTTCATCGGCTGAGCCACCCTGGCCATCGGCGAAGGCGAGATCCTGATAGGTCCTCGAGGGTACAGGACCAGAGGGGGGTTGTCCACTGAGACGGTCGTCCACGTCCGCAGCTGCAAACAGAGAATGTTTTATTATGAAAGTACCACATAGTATTTAATTGCGTGGTATGTAACATATATATTTTTTGACAGGAGTACATTGATCGCTGAGCATGTTATTCTCAGGCTTGAAGGTCAAGCTACTGAGGGAGACAGACCTCTATGTTTTGAAAGAGAACTATCTCCCTAATACCTACGAGGACTACCCGTACACCAAGAACTTTGAATACGTCTGGAAGGAAATTGTTGGGCACACACAAACTACTTCTGTTTGGGGAAGAGAAGAGGAGATACACAAGGAATAGGATTGGAGATGTAGGGGTTAAACTTGATGAAATAAAACATAAATGACAAGAAACTAAATAGTATGTATTGCTAAGGATAAAGAAATTCAAATATGTGTTAAAAGCAATACTGGATTGGCACGTAGGCATGTTGCTGCAGAAAATCGTAAGAAAGTTTTAAGGAATGAAATTTTCGTCAGGTATTGAAAGAAAAACATATAATCAAATAAACTTCTCCTTGTTTTAAATTTTCAGTAGAGGCAAAACAAAGAGTTTTATCCGGTGATAGAACTTTATTTTGCCAATTCTTCTTTTTTAGGGGGAAGCCGAATAATCGCCGATATATTTTTAAGTATTTTAAAAATCAATATCATCACCTCACAACATTTTTCATTTTCTAGATTGGATAAGGGTCAAAACCATTATAAAGCAGAGACAAATATCTATTTTCAATTAAAACTAAAAATGAAATTTTGCTTAGAATTTTTCTGTTCACTCAGTACTATCTTCTTCACATTTTAAGAAGAACTGATAAAAGGTGGTCAATGGAGGTAAATATTTGTATACACTATTGTTACAAATTGCGTTCGTTCGGGAAGACAGCTGGACCACTGTGTACATTCAAGAAAACGGTTCAGAAGATCTACCGGGAAAGCTTCATTGCCATGGAATGGACATCGACTCCCTGTGCCCTAGCTGCAGTGTTTCGAAGACTGCTGAGCACATTGTAGTCGACTGAATCACATTTGAAGAGCTAAGGGCTAGATTGCTGAGGGAAACCAATCTCTACATTCTCACAGAGAACGATTTCCATCAGTTAACTACGGAAAACTACCCGTACTACAAATATTTTGTATACAGACGGTAGGGGTGCCCAGAAGGGGGTTTCATGACGAAAGTTGCGCCATTTAAATTTTTGAGGGAGGCGTATTATGACAGGTTTTTGAATTTTTGAGGGGAACAAATTTCGACGGGATTATGAATTTTCGGACTAAGGAACAGGAGGAAGTGTAATTGTATATGATCTACGATTTTTCCAATTCTACCTTACCTTACTCTGTTTTTAAGAAAATATGAGCACTAAAATATCTTGGTAGGAGGGGAGGGGGAGTTCTTGCGCCATCTGGAAAGAGAAGTGGGTCCAGATTTCCCAGTAGAACGTCTAGTCCTAACCACCGTGTAGGATTATGCTATGTTTGTAAATATCCATATTAATTTAATTTGTTATCTGTTTCAAGTTTCAAATTAATCAATTTTACTTCATTTTTTATATTTTGTTGCGTAGAATTCACGAGGCGAGAATTTTTCTCACGTAAGTCATATTTACGATGGCTGCTAGGGCCAGGAATTTGTTTTTAAATATCTCATGGGACGGACATCCAACAAAGTTACCTGGATACTTTAGTTCAGGAAAATAGTTTCGCTTAAGGCTTTTTATATCGTTTCATAGTTATGTTATCAAACCGCACAATTTATTAGTATTTTCATAACAAAACGAAAGATCTATCAAAACATAAATAAAAGATAAGCAGAAGACGGTTATATAAATGATGAAAGCCTCGCCTTTGAAGTGTCGCTAGAGTGGTAGATATGAATATGATGGCACAGGAGATTGCAGCGAACGCCTCTTAATATCGCTAAGGTTGGCAGACAGCCTATTCTTCCTCATCGATAGAGATCTCTACAAAGCGCGCCAGAGTTCCTAGAAGAGCGAGGGCTTGGAAGTCGGACCTTCCTGGATGCGATAAGGGCGAAGGATTGTATTTTCTAAGGATTCTGAACACTCTCTTTAGTTGTCTGGACTCCTATAACGGCCGCATTTATTATTTTGAAGAATGAAATGGTATCAAAATAAAAATAATTTTTTTTTCTCTTTTTACAAGATTCTAAAAATATCTACATGCTTTAAATATCATATTGATAAAAATCTTATTCAATATGTATTTTAACTAGTATTTACATAGTAGTCGGAATTCGGCAATAATCATTATTCAAAATTTGAGGATAACATATATGAATTTACATATTTATAACTTTTTTTAAATATTCTTATTCTTAGTGCCGGGCTTATTGTTAGAAAATAATAAAAAATGAAATAAAATTACATAATTTATAATGGTATGCTATGTATTGAACATAAAAAAAAAGTTTTTAAAATTATTATTTGGCAAAAACAATGTTGAATGTAACCCCGACTTCTGACACCAAAAACAGTGTCTAGTGCAGAGAGCAGGTAGATAAGGACCGACCTATACCTGGACCCTGGGAAAGGCTTAGAGGAAAAACTAATAAGGGGCAAAGTAACTGATTTCTTTTAGGGCGTTACCAGTTATTGTGGAGTAACAGAGTAAAGTTAAGAACCAATGAAAACCATCCTTGCACAACCCTGAATATTTGTATATAATACGCCGAGAAGTAAGAAAAGAGGTCTTATGTTGATATTCGGTCTTGAGGATGGGTCTTATGTTTTATTCCGACTTGGGGACTGAAGCCTTGGCCCAACATAGACCATGGAGATCCTGGCAGAGTTTTGGATCTGGCCTTGACAGATGACCTCGGATCAGCAGATGCAGCGCTGAAATCTACCAACCACACCACTTTATAGACAATAGATAAGTTGTAATTCCCAATTCTAATGTTATAATATTTCATGGTGAAAATTCTCAAGACAGTCCATCTGACATCATGCCTTAATTATTAAATTCATTGAATCACGTATTTTGTTCTTGTAAATATAATTTGTATATGTACTTTATTAAAGATAGAAATTAATTAAATTTTTTAGTAACAGTTATTTTTAATTCTGTCACCTATTTATGTCATGATGATCACAGGTAATGTTGGTAATTAGAAAGCATGATAAACACAAACCAGCCGTTGAGGAAAGAAATCCGATTAATTAATTCTCCAGAATATATTATAGATTCAATCAATATATTATAGATCCAAATTTATTTTACTAATTTTTTATTAAACATTTCTGGGTAATTATCATCAGTAATTATCCAGTGGCATCCCGAATAAATTTGAACACTCCAAAACGTAGTTATTTTTAATTTCATCCCTTTTGTGGAGAAAAACATACAGGTATCTAGATGGTTGACCGTAGATTCTAATACAGATGAAGTTAGTCGGTGTTGTTGTAAAAAAAATACTATATTATATAATAATGTATTTTTTGCAATGTCCAACGTCCAGTCGACGTACTGCCTTCTACAGTGCCACAGAGAAAGTCTTGAAGACGACCTAGAACGTTGGTCGAAACGTTAGACAATACAATAAATATACTATTATATAATATAGTATTTTAGACCGCATAACCGACAAACTTATTCTGGAATTATATAATTTAAAATGGCTTAAGAAATAAATTAAATGTTTTATGGGGGGATGACGTCATCATTCGCTCAAATACTTTTATATGTACTTACAAAACAGTTCAGTACCATTTTTATAATACATAAATTAAAAGGGCCACAACCAGAAGAATTTAGAAAAGTTTCTTTAAAATCGTGCAGCCTTAATGGTGGTCTATAGCGACAGGCGTTTTTCGGCAGTCATTTTGAAAAGAAAGGCTGGATGGTAATGGATTGAATATAGAATATTGTATGTATGTCTCAACATTGTACTAATACTCTAGCAATATGCCAAATATAAATTGTTATAACAGAACTCTCCTAAAAAACATAAACTGAACAATAGTGCAAACAAAAAATGCATTAAATATATCTTTTGCATACAAGGTATACATCACTGGTTTCGATTTCAGTAATATTTATCATTTCGTAGAGAATTCAAGAAGCTCTCAAATACACATGAACCAAAAACTGTACTTTTTTAGTTATTCGCTAATTGAATTCTGAATCCATTGTACCTTTTTTTTTAATCTCTTTTCGGGTAAGTATGCTATATATATAAATTAAAACAGCTTTAAGGAGAAGTATTTTACCAAGTTTAATTAAAATTATTACAATCCTTTTATTCCTAGTTTTTCGGTAAAAAAAGGCGGATGATAATGAAATGTATTTAAAAACACTCCTGACTTTGGTTGCAACGTTGTATCAAAACTTCAAAGCAATCGGTAGTGTCGATTCATGCCGTATTCATCATATGAATAAGAATTTATCGAAAAGTGACATTCAATTTTTGGATTTATGCCAGGTTTTAATAAAGAACTTGGGCCACCCGTATACGCGTCGTAGTTTGCTGGGCGTAGTTATATGTGAAAAAGTTACCCCGTTGGAAGGACTTAACGAACAAGTTTCTCGTGAAATCTCTGTAACGGCATGTACCTTAATAATCGTTAGTTTTGTCAACCCAAATTGTTGTTGTAGTTAGAGATTTATTTGTTGAGAAATAAGTACCAACAATTCAGGTGCCCCCGATGCAAATAATGTGAACCACAAGCCATTAAGATATTATTTATAGAGTGTTATAGATTACAGCTTATTAAATGCTTAAAGCTTATTAGTCTATGAAAGTTTAATACAAATTAACTTAATAATTCATAGATGTTATTTTATAAATTTGTTTTAGTACTTCATTAATATTATAATTACATAATTTGTGATTCGTATCGTAAAGTTGATATGCCATCAATTTTTCTAATGTTACGTACATTTATTTAAATTAATTTTGCTACGTTCACGAGTTTTTATTTTCCATCAAAGCAACGTTGTTCTGCATTGATAATCTACTGGATGGGGGTCTGTCCATCAATCATCAATC